GTACTTGGGTTCAGGTCCCACTACCCTCCCCACCCCTCCTCCTGTTCTCAGAAGGAACCTCAATAGTCAGCAAGTCTAGCCGTGAGGAGTGTTCGCAAGCAGGCACAGCTGAACTCAGCATGGTGGTGGCAGTTTGGCTCAAAGCACAGTCCTGTACGACAGAGGGGTGTGGAAGTGTAGTTTGGGCGGAGTCTCGTATAGCCCAGGCTAGCCTGAAACTCAGTATGTATCTGAGCTTGACCTCTTGATCTTCCTGTCTCCGCCCCCCAAGTGCTTGGATTATCAGTGTGCACCACCATGCCCAGTTGTAATTTCTTCTAAGACTTGAAATCGGGATCTATTATCTGAGAAAAGAATATTTTCAATTAAAAAAAATAAGTAAATCCTTTCCCTATTTTTTTTTTAAAAAAAAAAAAGGGAAAGAAATGTGACTTTCTCTGAATTTGGTTCCCACCAAAGCAGAAATTGCAAGTGGATGGTGCATTTTTTATTTAAGTATAAGAACTTTTACTTTGATCCTAGTTGTGGATTTATTCATAAGAGTTTATATTCACCTTCTGCTTGGAAAGTTCAGTAAGTTTTGAATTGACTTATCTTGAATGCTGTAATTTGTGCTGGAGTTAAAAGTATAAATTGCCCCTGAGCCAATCAGTAGTTAGTATTAAACACGTGCATGGGAGGTAGTGTTGTGTAGTAGCGGCACACATGAAGTGTGTCTTCTCCGGGAAGCAGAGTCTAGTGAGGACCTTCAGGCCATGCACTCACTCCTGGAGTGCAAGAAGGGAAACTGGCAGAAATGGAAAACCACAGTCGCAATGGAAGTCGCGGCCGACTGATGATGGAGTGCACTCAAGTGTGTCTCAGAGCAGGGCCCTTACATCCTGTGCCGTCCGCTCAGCCTTAAGCTGAAACAGTTCCGTCTAGACCAACTGCGGAGGTGGCTGCCTGCAGAACTTGGAGCAACTCCACGAACGTTCTCTATTCTCAAATGGCATCCCTCACACAGTGCCCCAGAATGCAGACCCAGTACACGATTCATCTTCCACTCAGCTGCGCATTGTCTAGGATTCTGGTGTAGACTCAGCCAAGCTATATGCTGGGGCAGTTCTCTCCTGCATCCCTTAGCCTCTGTGAACACAAGTCAGTAGCACAAGAGACCAAGGCCAAATGCACCAACACACACCAAAGACTGATTGTTATACTTTTTTTTCCCCCTCTCTCTCTTTCTTCTTTTTTGTTTTTGTTTTTGTTTTGTTTTGTTTTCGTTTGGTTTGATTTCGGTTTGTTGGGTTTTTTTTTTTTTTTTTTTTTTTTGAGACAAGGTTTCCCTGTGTGTCTGTCTAGCCCTGGCTATCCTGAAACTCACTCTGTAGACCACCAGGCTGGTCTCAAACTCACCGAGATCCGCCTGCCTCTGCCTCTCAAGTGTTGGGATTAAAGGCACATGCTACCACCGCCCAGCTATGTCAAATATCTTAACATCCTACTGCCCAAGCAAATCGTGTGCCAAAGCCGGCTGTCTGTGCAGGGGCACGGTAGCCCCCTGTGGAGGTCCAGGGAGGGGGGTGAAATGTTTGCCGAACAACAATCCAGTCTACCGCAGCGTGATTCTGTTTAATGAACAAAAGATGAAAACTCCCCTGCCAAGATTTCCTTGTCAGTCTCTCTCCTAAAATACTTCTATTTGTCATTTCCATCTGTTATGAATGAGATGAAATATGACAACACCTTTGCTTTTTGGCAGAGGGAACAGCTTGTGCTCGGTTCTGATTTTCAAAATTTAGATTTGAATGGGTCTTGCAGCGTGTGCTCGTATCTATTGGAGAGATGTGGTCTTTGCAAAGTATTTATCTGAGGCAAGATTGGGTTGTTTTCTGCTTAGTTTTCAAATCCGTTTTTAATTTTGAGTTGGGATATGTGTGCAGTTTATCTCATGCATTGAGTGACCTTCATGGTCTCATCCATCCGTGTAAAACCACCACTAGGTGTAGATACAGTGTAGTGTCCCCAGAGTCCCCTTATGTCTTCCCAGTCTGATTCTGGAACTCGGGAGAAGGCGCACACCACTGAATTTGTGTGGTCTCTGAAATATTTGTTATTTTCTATACTGAACGTTGTTTTCTTAAGCTACGTTCTTTTACTTAAAGCTTTTGAAGAGTGCAGTCAGACCTCACAAAAGTCCACTCAAAAGCAACGTCTGCATGTCTCAGAAAGATGAGGTTAATAGGGCCTTAAGAGAGAGAGAACCCTCTGCCTTCCGTCATAAAATCCCCCCTACAAGTTCAGCGGTGCTCATGGAATGTCCGTTCATACCGACGGCACTGCCCTCTCCACCAGGCTACGGTTCACCTACTGGAGACGAGTCTCATGGCGTTAATGCTGGCTGGAGCTGATTGGTGGCCAGGAAGCGGTCCTGCAGTCTCAGAAGCTGGGTGCAGTCAGTGGACATCCGTGCACACATGGCTTGTGCTGTGGTTTATAACGTGGGCTTCTTCTGATTTAACGGTTGATGCGCTGTCGCCCGAGACAAACACATTTAATTCTATGGCATTTTGGCTTCAGAGCACCAGTTAGTTATAAAAATTGCTTTTATCTTTTGAGGAATTCCAGCTTCACAATGAATTTGCATAAGTTTTTAGAGGGGGCTGTTAAGGATCAAGCCTGGGCCTCAAGCAAGTCTGGCACTGAGCTATGCTTAAGCCCTTGTATAATTATTGACTTTGTTGTTTTTCTTTTGTTTTGTTTCAGATAGGTCTAATATATTCAAAGATAACAATGACTTCCTTATCCTCTTACCTCCACATCCCAAGTGGTGGGTGTGGCTTTTGATTACTACCTAGTCTTTTAGTTTTTTGTTTGCTTGTTTGTTTGTTTTTTAATTACCTGTTGTCAATTTAGGACATTACAAAGTAACAGTTTATGGCCCTATCCTTAGTTGAAAGGATCCCTAAATACAATTGATCCTTCTGTTTTTATAATGAGATAGTCAAAAAGAGAACTCAGATTTGGAGATACAGGAAACAGCTATATCACAGGGTCTTTTTGGTGAGGTTAGCTGGAGAATCAGATTGATTGCTTGTGAAACTTGGCAGGGTGTGAGCGGGAGGCAACAGCAGGGCCAGCGTTCTGACGCCGCTGTGCGACCGGGAGAGCTTCTCTCAGAGTGCTGTCCCCTGACAGCCAACCAAGTTTAGTTGTGACGGCCAAGGGAAGCCGATAATGACATCCACTGACATCACCCACGCTGTGACGGCCAAGGGAAGCCGGTAATGACATTTTCTCTTCGGCTTTTGTTTGGTGGAATCCAGAGATTTGTTTTAAAGTTAATGCCAAACCTTGTTCAACCAGTTACTAAACAGATGTGTACTGGTTGCTGCCTTCGGCTTCGTCAACAAATTCAGTTTCTTTGCCCATATTGGCCATGTCGGTTAATGTCTCACAGTGTAAATGCATCCTTGCTGTATTGTAGGCTCTCACTGGCTGGCTGGCTTCAAATACGTAATCCTCCCGCCTCACTCCTGAGTGTACTAGGATTACAGACATGTACTACCATGCCCAGCTGTAAATATATTCTTAATTAATTAATTGTTGTTGTTTGGTTTTCTTGAGACAGGGTTTCACTGTGTAGCCCTGGCTGTCCTGAAACTCGCTCTGTAGACCAGACTGGCCTTGAACTCAGAGATCCGCCTGCCTCTGCCTCCTGAGTGCTGGATTAAAAGAGTGTTCCCTCACATCCTGCCCATTTGTGAAGTTTTAATATAATTTAATTTAATTTAATGATTGACACAATGTGATGGTGTATAAGAGGCAAGGCTTGGCATTCATGTGCTCTGAAGCTGTGTGTGTGCACGCGCATACACACACACACACACACACACACACACACACACACACACACACACACACAAACACTGCCCTATTCTGCGGTTTTCTTGGTATGTATAAACGTTAGTGCACATGTATAAAGACTCTTTCTCTTCAGTCGAAAGATTATCAAAGTTCTCAGAGCTTGAGGTTTTATACCCACTGCTGACTGGGGAGTGAGTAGGGTGCTGGGAATCAAGTCCGGCACTGGTGTGTGCCGGGAAAGTACACCGCCACACCCTCCTGACCTAAAGAGCTGATCACGTCCTGATCTCTTTCCTCTTTTCAAGTCACTCTTCCTTAGACTATACAGACGCCCACACTGCCCGAGCTGCCCTAAGCTGCCTGTTCTTGGTCTCCCCAAAGTCCCAACCAAGTTATGTTTGAACATGGACTTGTAATCTTGTTTGTTTTATGTTTAATATGGATATGTATTCTTTGTACTTATTTTGTGTGTATATGTATGTGTGTGAGTATGTGTGTGTCGTGGTGTGCATGTGGAGCCCAGAGGACAACTTTTGGGAGTCGATTCTTTCCTACCACGTGGGTAGGGGAATTGAACTCAGGTTGTCTGGCTTGGCAGCAAGCACCTTTACTCGTGCTGAACCATCTTGTTGGCCCAAATATATAATTTGGCTTTATATATGATGCTCTATTCTGCTTTTTCTTTCCATCTCTTGTTCTTATTAATGGTACATTATTCTCTAACCTGAACCAATGCTTTTAATGCAATGCTTTTTTTCTCTCACACATAGTATGTTTTTCCTTGGTCGGGGAGGAGTATTCCAGTGTTCCACACTAACTGAAGTGATTTGGGTGTTTTTAAGTAAATGAAATCTTGAAGTCAAATTGATTGTGTTCTTGGTTGAATATTTTGAGCATTTGGATCTTCCTGGTTGTTGCCATTCTAAATGGATGTATTTTTAAAACACCTTAGCATTCTCTTACCAATTAACATTCTCTTAAAGCAGTTACTTGATGGGGTTTGGCTGTTTCGTTTTGCTATTTGAAAGGGAATGCTAAGGACACTGTTAATTCTGCATATCCTGCCCGCACTCAGTGCTCCAGATCCCGATGACCTGCAGGCAGGTATACGCGCCCACTTATCATTTCCTGTCCGTTCTTCTGCTCTCCAGTTCCATGCCATGGATACGCTGTACAGGCACGGCTATGACCTGAGCAGTGCCATAAGTGTTCTGGTGCCACTTGGAGGGCCGGTCCTGTGCCGAGATGAGATGGAGGAGTGGTCGGCCTCCGAAGCCAGCTTATTCGAAGAAGCACTGGAAAAATATGGCAAAGATTTCAACGATATCCGTCAGGACTTTGTAAGTGGAAAACCATGAATAAACCGTTGGGACAGGAATATTGTTTTATCTATTTACTAATTAGTAAGTCACCAATTTACTAATCCTACACATTTAGCATGCCTGTGACATAAGTTTTGGTTGGTGCCAGGGATCAAAGCAAGGGCCTTTAGAATGTGTTCTGCTGCTGAACCACACTCTCAGCCCGACAGTAATCTTATTTGCTTAAAATAGAATGAAGGGCCACTTATAAAGGAAGTAATTGACATTTGCTTTGTATTGTGACTATGACTGCGGGTGAGGAGTCCTGAGCTCCTGGAATACACCTTGGTTGCATGATTTACCCTCTGCAGCATTCTGATTCCGAAGTAGAAATATTGACAGTTCTGAGCATTTGTGCTAAATATAACAGTCCGTGTGTGCTCTCTCTGCCTCTTTTAAACTTCCTCTAGTTACATTACCAATCATTGATGTTCTTGTAATTTAGGTGTGACCCTGACCAAGCAGAAGAGCTGGATGTGTTGTCCAGGTCCCATCCATCTTTGACTCTTAATGATACTCAGTGTTCTACTTAGTATTCCTTTTCAGATTCTTTGAGAAATTGTGTATTCAAGTTGAACACACACTGAGAAGTAATGACCACGCCTAACACGTTTACTCACAACCGTCAGTTGTGCGTGGGTGTGAGTGTGTGCGTGCATGCGTGGGTGCGTGCTGGGGAAGACCTGCTTTTAAGTTTTCAGTACTGGAGAGCAAACTCAAGCACTCCATCACTGACCGATAACCCCAGGCCCATTCACGCCTTCTTTGTCAGAGTTTTGCTGAGTTGCACAGGCTTACCTTGAACTTGTGATCTTCTGCCCCAGCGTTTGGAGTAGCTGTCACTGTAACTGCACAGCCGCCCCCAAGTGTCTTGTTTTCTTTAGTTAAATTTATTCTCTTTGCAAAAGAAGTTTTGATTGAGATTTTTGCAAATTACTTTCTATAATAACTGTCCTTCATCTTGAGTGTAAAAATAGGTTTGTTTGTTTTTGTTTGTTTGTTTATGGTAGGGACTCATTATGTAACCCTGGCTGGTCTTGAACCTGTGTCTGCCTCCTGAGCGTTGGGATTACAGTTTATACCACTGTACTTGCCTAAGGATACACTCCTTGACTAGCATACATAGATATGGTACCCTGCCTTTCACTTTGTTGAATATCTCTTGAATTAGTTCTAAATCAAAATTTTTCCTTATCAATATGGATTGATACATTAAATTTCAGGCACAGTACTTGTAAGTTTTTGTTACCAATGAGATCTGTTCCGACAAAACCTCAGTCACACCTAGATTGTTATGTGCTGTAATACTAAATTCTAAAATCAGGCCAGTGACACGTCTCTGTAATCCTGGAAGATCTTAAATTCAAGGCCAGCCGAGGGATCACACTTTATTAAAGGTTTACAGTTAGGTGGTCATAGCAGTACAGTGTTATTGATATAAAAGTTATGAGCATAATAAAGCTAAAAGTGCAAGCTCAAAAATCTCCCAAAGAGCCTCTTCTAGGGCCAAGGCACTTACTGCCCAACATTACAACCTGAGATCCGTGCCCTGAACCCACACTGTGGAAGGGGAAACTGTCCTTAGGTGCGTGTACCCACGCCCATACTAAATACATAAATAAGTGGTTTTGTTTGTTTATTATAAAGAACAAAATTGAGAGCCAAATATGGTGGGGTACATGTTTGTAAAACCAGCACTTGGGAGGCAGAGGCAGGAGGACCCGGAAGCTCAAGGCCATGGTCATCTACATAGCGAGTTTGAGAGGAGTCTGGGCTATATGAGACCCTCTATCCACAGCAATGACAGAAATCCACATTGTCATAATGATAAAGTGAGCGCTTTTTCCTGTTTCTTTTTGTGTTCTGGTGATAGCTCAGAGTTCGGTGCTTATATGTCCTATACGTTAATCCTGGCAGGGATCTCGCCCTTAGACGGCTTGTTTCCGGCAGTGCCCGCGGCTCCCTAATGGTGCACGCTCCTCTCTTATTACCGTTATATGGCGTTCCTTTTGGAGCAGACCCTTCCCTGACGTCAGCAGCGTCGTCCTTGTAGATTGGCATATATGTGGCAAAAGGAGCACTCAAGTGTTTTCTAGAAGGTCTGGAGAACACACAGGGGGATGGATGTCTTTTCTCTGCCCTCCCTGTGGTTGCCATTTGTGAATTGCCAGGCCTCACCGAGGATCAAAACTAAGGCAAGATTTAACTTTTGACCTGGAAGACTCTACCAGATTGCAAGCTGAGGTTCTAGGTCAGCTAAAAAATTCCACAAGATGCAGTTGGCAGGGCAGAGCTATGAGACCCCACACTTCCTAAGCAAAGTCCAGAACACCAGGGCTAAAGCCAGGGGATCATAAGACCGGGTGCTTGGCCAGACTGACCTCTGTGCCTCAGCTTCCCCCCAAATGGCGGCCACCTCCCTGATTCTCAGTTCCCAGGCCCCACACAGCTCCTGGTGCTCCCAGTCTGGCAAGACATAGCTCCATTGTCCCCAGCGGCTTCCAGACAGGCTCGACAGTCTATGATGCTAACACATAGCCTCAGTGGCCACAGGCCCACACTTCAAATCTGTTGACTGCATGCTACAGAGTCCACATACCAAGAGCCATGCATCAGCCCTACCTCTCTTTTTTACTTGATGAAGTTCCCCACATATTCCCTACAACCCTGCATATTGTCCTCCTTTCCAGCCTGTATCGTCAGTGCTAATTTGGGGGGATAGAGATGTACTCGTGTGTAGCCTACACAAGGTTCTGCGTTGTTCCCTGTACCCCACAGCCATGAAAGTGCACTGTATTAATACAGTTATCTTAAAGTCTTATTTGGATTTTCTAGCATTTGGGATAGGGCCGAGGCCTGTCTGTTGGATACTTAATTCCTTGAAAATGAGAGTCATTTATTGTCTAGCTTTTTGTGTTTTGTTTTTTGTCTGTTTGGTTGGTTTTTTTTTTTAAGGTGCAGAGTTACCTTGTACAAACAGTAGCAGACCGAGTTTAACAGTGTTTATTGCTCAAATGAGCATGTCTGGTCTGTTCAGGTCTTTGGGGTGGGGTGGGTGCTGACTCCATTCAGCTGTCCCAGGTTTGGGGCTTACTGCTGGGTTTCCATCATGTGCCGGTGTACATGTTAGCCATCTCCACAGCTCTGTGTCTCACAGGACCTCAACGACCTGAGTTCCCTGCTTCTGCTAGACATTTTCCTCACATGCCAGGAAGGTTTCCCGACCCGGCTAGCTCTCCTAGCATCCCCCACCCCTGTTCCCACTGCTCACCTAATGGGTTTTACTGCCCAGTTAGCTTGCAGGATTATTCCAACAAGCCCATCATACCCGCCCGTGGGACCCTTCTGCGGTATCCCGGTGACACCTTATCCTTTTGATCCATTTCCATGACTTCGCTGGCTGCTCCATTTTCAGGTGCAATTCTCACATCCTCCAGGCTGTGCGCACACGTGACTGAGCCAGTTCATCTGTTTGGTCTGTTGCCTTTTGTTATATCTTGCTTATTTAGCCAATTGTAGTGTTTGGGGGCAGTGATGATACAAGGTGATCTGGACCACAAGACTCTCTTTTTATTATTTATTTTTATTCTGTGTATATGAGTGTTTGGTCTGCATGTATGTCTGTGCAGCACATGCATGCCTGATGCCCATAGAGGTCAGAAGAGGCCATTGGATCCCCCAGGACTGGTAGTACAGGAGGTTGTGAGCTACCATGTGGGTACTGGGGACTGAACCAGAGTCGTCCGAAAGAACAGCAAATGTTTCTCTCCAGCCTCCTTCTTTTTGTTATTTTTGAAAGAAGGTCTCATGTAGTCCAGGCTGGCCTCAAACTTGATCTCCTGCCTCAGAATTTAAGGCTGGGATTACAGGCAAGTACCAGCACGCTCCGCTTTCCTGGAGTAGTTTTCCTTCCGTTCAGGTGGTGAGTGTAATGTGCTTAGATGGTTCGCTGGGTCATTGCTGGGGTTGCAGTGTTGCGGCAATGTGATTCTGATAGGCACCCTCCCCTAGACGGTGACCTCTTGGTGAGTCTGTGTCACGGGAGCTCTCCTGAAGCCATCAGTAAGGTTGAGAGAGGTGACACTGAATCATTGCCTGCCACTAACCGTGGTTGAAAGGAGCTGGTGCTGGGCGTGGCCTGTGTGGGCTTCAATGAATTGGATGAAGGACAGCATATGGTAGTTGGCTTCCTTTTCTCAGGTTTCCAGATAAGTGCCTGTCAGATCCTTGTTTTTCAACAAGACAGAATAGCTCTTAGCTTGCTTACAAACCATGCCATTGCTGACCTGGGGCCCTGCTGAAGGTGTCTTTCACGGTCTTTCAGACAACTCCATTAGATGAACGCATTGGGTTTAAAAACCAAAGATCCTGAACAGCTACTTGCGTTAGCTGCAGTTCAAGCTAGCGGCTATGCCGTGATCCCTCAAAGAAACCACGTTTGTAACTACTGTTAAAATCCGCCACCCGGATCAACTGAAAACGCCGCCTTTCTCTAAAATCCTTGGTTTCTCTTTAGAACAAACAAGTAAGCAAATTAGCCGGGGGAGGTGGTAGGGCGGCCCGGATGCTGTCAGGCAGGTCCCCGGCAGCCCCAGTTCTAAGGAGTCCAGGGGTACGATTTTAAGTGGTTACTCCTTATGGTGTGCTGGGAGTCAGAGGGCTGAGTTACCTTTACAAAACCAGCCACAGCTCAAGGTGACCTATCAACCCTTCCTGCCACCGTGGAGGCCTGGCACTCCATTCGTCTTGATCATAAAACCTTATCCACGGAAGGCTGCAGGGAGTGTGTTCTTTGCTCTAGGCCTCAGGAGTAGGATTTTTTAAATACTATGGAAAACAGCAAAGGCAAGCTTACTTTTTCAATAGGAAACAAGATGAGCTATGTCCTTTCCCCACCCCCCCCCCCCAAAAGATGTAGCCTGTTGTTTTATTTATAATAAACAAAACAGAGTTGTCTGGAAAGGGTTGAGAAATATTACGCCAGAGACCAAAAGACACCCAGTTGCGATGACCTCTTTGGAAGTTGGAGTAACTCGGCCCTCGAACTGTTTAAATAATATTCCTGAAATTATGCATCGGAGGTGATGATTCAGCTCAGGGCTGAGCAGTTGCCTAGCATGCAAAAGGCCCATTTTAATTAGTTAATTAATCGTGCTTCAGTCCCTCCCGTAACTGCTTCACGGGGCTAGAAACTTTCCTGAGTAAGTCAGGAGATATTCCCAGCGATGAGGTTTATAATTTTTTATCAAACTGATGCGAAATGGAATGCATGCATTGGATTGGATCTCTTATTAGATATAGCGTATACTTTTTGCTAAGAATTAATTATTTTTGTTTATTTTTGCAAAAGTTTTTTCTTTTTTTTCTAGAATGAGCCTAATATGCAGACCCTTGCTACGTCATTTGAAAGAAGCGGTTGTGAAGGGAAACCCTTTGTGCCATAGGTCGTTTTCATTATCCTCTTAAATGTCTTTCAGCTCCCGTGGAAGTCCTTGACCAGCATCATTGAATATTATTACATGTGGAAAACTACTGACAGATACGTGCAGCAGGTAACCCTGCCCCACCCGCACCCTTGCATCACAGCTGGTACCAACCCCGAACCCGCCTCACCTTCCCCAGCCTGCTTTAAATTCCACCGTTTCGTGCCTTTAGGGTGTTGATGTTTTCATCTCGATAGTTCACTGTTCTCAGCGTTCGTTTTCGTGACGACTTGGGAATGGTGATAGAGAGAGACGTGGCTAGAGAGAGAGGCCTTGTTTCCCTTCTGTGACTGGGCCTCCATCTCTGCAACAAGTGGGGTTTACTAGAAATACAGCCCTGTCATGAACCCCTTGGACGATATGTTCTTCTGGATGGAGAATTGAGCCTGGGGCCATCAGCCTTACAAATTCAGATATGGCTATGCTTTCTGAACCCTCCTTAAGTGACATTTTTGTGGATCGGTTCCACAAGCTCTAGCGCCCCTCCCCACTCCCCCCACCCCGTTTGAGGTCCCCTCTCCAAATGGTAGGGAGCACACCTAGGGCCTTGTATGTGGTAGGTAGGCACCCTGCCACTGAGCTACATGCCCAGTCCTCCCCTGACCTTTTGACCTTAATTGTAAGACATTTGTTGTCATTTTGAGACAGGGTCTCACTGGTTAGCTCAGGCTGGATAACTCAGGCTGGGTAGCTCAGACTGGGTAGCTCTGGCTGGGTAGCTCAGGCTGGGTAGCTCAGGCTGGGTAGCTCAGGCTGGGTAGCTCTGGCTGGGTAGCTCAGGCTGGGTAGCCCAGGCTGGGTAGCTCTGGCTGGGTAGCTCAGGCTGGGTAGCCCTGACTGGGTAGCTCAGGCTGGGTAGCCCTGGCTGTTCCTAAACTTGAGTTCCTCCTGCTTCGGCCTCCAGAGGGCTGGGATTGCAGGTGTGTGCCACCAAGCCTGGGTATGGTAGCTTTAGTCTTTGTAAATTGATGCTTTCTGCTCCAAAGTCATTCAACAGTAGAGAACTATCTAATTGTTGAATTTTTTCCAAGTGTCCTAAATTCATGTAGCTCTTAGTTACTTATTTTGAAAAAAATCTACCTTTGGGGAAAGGCATGTTTCTGAAATGGCCTCAGTGAGTGCCTGTTTTAGATTCCCGCAGTCACATGCAGAACAAGGCTAAGATTAAAAACAGACAGCATTTGCCTACGTGTGCGAGCGGCGCCGTGGCAGGTACTGGATGCGGTACCCATGCATTTGAAGGCCGGCTCTCAAGTGCCAGGAGTTGCCGTGGTCGTGAATAGTGAATAGGAGTCTACAGCGTACTGAACAGTTCCCAGTGCCAACACCATATGTAATCCAGAAAGTGCGTGTTTGAAACAACTGTGATACAAACCTGTGCCGTTCAAGTCAGGAAGTGTCCCCAGAAGAAGGCACAGGCGCGGCCCTAAGGACGGTTAAAAGATGATTTTCCCGAAATGTTGACTCCAGGTCAAGTTTCGAGTTGCCCCTGGACATTTTTGTTTTCATCTGGTTGGGCAACTGGAGGGTGGGTTTGTAGTCTCTCTGGGGACAGTGACCGGGCACTGTTCCCCGTTTCTGTTGGCTTTTATTTTTACATTGATCAGGATCTAGAGCTGACGACGTATTCTCCTTCCCACTCTTTCCCTGCATTTGGCCCCTGGTGGGCTTCAGTACAGCGTTCTGTGAGTTCAGCCAAGGTGTAAAGTTACTACAGAGCCAGGTGTAGAGGTGCACACCTGTAATCTCCACACTTGGGAGTTTGAGGAAAGGCTGGACAACACAGTAGTGAGTTCCAGGTCAGTCTAGCTACAAAGCCAAACCCTGTCTCAGAACTCACAGTTACTACGTATGGTTCATCGTTTGAGGGTAAAACTTTATTGAATTTTATTTAGAATAACTCCAGTCACTTCCTCTTGCATGGATTTTAGAAACTATCTAAAATACTTAATTTTTCTAAAAGCAAAGTTTTTGTTTTTTGTTTGTTTGTTTGGAGTGTGTGTGTGTGTGTGTGTATGTGTGTGCTGGTGATGGGACAGTATATGTGCGCATATTCCTGCTAGAAAGACAAGAACTAAAATAGTAAACTGCATTTGCTAAAGTAAGGATGGTGGTTGTTAATGTCCTCTGAGAGCTGACATGAGGCCCAATGGTAGAGCATGTGCTTAGCATGTGTGAGGCCCCAGGTTCAGTCACACACACACACACACACACACACACACACACACACACACACACACACACAAGTACTCTTTAGTTCCCTCATAGAAGATCGCGAAGTGGGGCTTTTTATTGCTTTACTTTAAGAATCTATGTGTGCTTACAGTTCTGTAGTTTAGAAGCTAATGATGTTCTTACGTTACTGAAGCTTTAGAACGTGTATATGAGAGAACTCTTAAGAATGAATTGTGCTGTAATGTTTCTGTTCTTGTGTTTTTAAGGCTATGGGATGTTAATAAATAGTATGCATTTCATGTAAAATGTTTTGTCCATCTTTCAAATTAGAAACGTCTAAAAGCAGCAGAAGCCGAGAGCAAGCTGAAACAAGTGTATATCCCAACTTAGTAAGTAACTGCTCTTATGGAATATCTACCCCGCTCCCAATCCTGTCCTTCCAAACATGCCATTCACTCAACGCGGCAAACCTGAATTTCTTCGTGTGTCTTACCTTTCTCCTCCTCCTCAAAGCCCCGAAGTTGTTTTCTATTGTCCCACGGCAATGACTTTGGAAAGAAAAGAATGGGTGACAGGACCCAGAGTAGCCCAGCAGAAGGGTCAGAGGTCAGCGAGGCCGCCTGTTGTTCTTGTATTAAGTGTCAGATTTCCCAGCGAGAGAAGCAAGCTCTGCTCCATAGAGGTGGCACTCTGGATGCCTCTGCGCTGCAGGAGGAGTGCTGCTTGGTTCCTGTGCATCCCCCTCTGAGGTGTAGTGCTTGGGCGGCTCCTTGAGGACTTACACTGTTGCCTTTGTAAACTGTCAGTGGGTTTTGATGGTTTCCCGGGCCCAGCATTCTCCCTCTGTCTTTTGGCCTTACAGGTGAAATGTCAGTTTCGTGGTTTATTCGCTGTTTTACGTGCATCGCCCTCTTCTGTTGTGGAAGTCTTAGATTTGGTCACTCAAATTTACCACAGCTGTCTCCCTGCTGCCCCGAGATTGTTTGAGCTAAATACAGCCATTTTGTATAGGTTTTTCTTTGCCGGAGTTGGGTATATTGCATGATACTTGTTTTTACGTATTGGAGGCATCATGGACAATAAATTGTGATCCTTCATAATAATCTTTTACCTTAAGATGTGTATACATAAACAACTGGTTTAGTTGTTATTTTTTTGTTGGTTTTTCTTTGGTTTGTGTGGAGAGATTGTTTTTTTAAGATGTGGTCTCACTATGTAGCCCTGGCTGTCCTGGAATTCACTATGTAGACCAGGCTGGCCTCAGACTCAGAGACCCACCTGCCTCTGCCTCCCAAGCACCTAGATCAAGGGTGTGCGCTACTACGCTTGACTTTGGTTTACTTTTTTAAAACTGGAATTTACTCATCCCATAATTATCCTTATTTCTTCTGCAGGGTCTTTTTGAGGTCCTTTAAAATTATATATTTAATTTACGAATTCTAAATGTGTCATTCCACAAAGAGAACACTGACTCAAAGTATGAGCTTCTTGTGAAGCAGCCTTCCCATGCCTCACAGTGCTGACACCTCAGAGAGAGCATCCAGCCTACTGAGACTCAGTGGCCCAATGATTGTATTCAGCTTTCATTGGCTTTGGTGTCTTTATCCGAGTCAGGGACCCAACACTAGTCAGGATAAAATCTCAGCTGTCACCTGTTGGCTGTAGATAAGTTTCACTGGCGCACAGGCCTGTTTGTTACGTATTGTCCAAAACTGCTTTTGCACTACAGGCGCAGGATTTAGTGGTTGTGACTGTATTACCCCCAAACCTGAACTTCTTCACTACTGAGCCCTTTACGAGAAAAGTTTTCTACATCCTGATTTAAGTGATCCTTGGAGAACAAGCAATTTCTAATCATACTCATTTAAAAAAAAAAAATGTGCATCCTATGCATTGTTTGAAAATAAGCTGAGTTATGGAGTTGTATGTAAATCTGAGTCCTTCAGTGAATTTCCAAGTTAATTCTGAAATAGAATGTTGTTGTTTTTTAATAGAATTCTCTTTCTCTGTCCTGCTTTGAGCCTGGCAGTGTCCTACAGTCTCCGACAGTGAAAGCCTTGTGTTGGTACTGGGGGTAGAAGGTTTACAAGGTGGGCTGCCCCCTGAGGCATACGGTACAGACCGTGTGTGCTGAGAACAGTGACCAAGAAGATAGCTTTGAGGGGTGAGGGGTGAGTAGTCTCTGAGGTGGTATGGGTGGACTCTGCTGTCGGCAGAGGTACTCAACAGCCAATGCTGTTTATAGTCTAGTGATGTCCTGAGCTGGGACAGGGCTGGGCAGAGTTGAGGAGCCCAGAGAAAGATGGCATGGCAGTGTGGGAAGAGTAGCCAGCCAGCCATGGGGGGAGGGCAGGCAGTATGGGGTGCCCATCACATGAAGTGTGGAGGAAGGTGTATCATGGTCTTGAAAAAGATCGCAGGTTGCATTTGGAACGTGGATCCCGGAAGCAGTAACGTATCTGTGAGGAGACCAGTTATAGGTTCTCAGGAGGAGAAGTGACCCAGCTTGACCTTAAAAGGGCTCTGGAAATGATGCTGTGCTAGGAGGTGACTGGCTTTGGCATGCCAAGTTTGAGTCCACCATTAGGTGGATTGTCCTGCCGGTCACTAAGCTCAGAAATGCTGGCGTAGTATTAGGTTAGGCCATTTGGAGTTTGTTCTCTCAAAAAGGGATAGTGGGTATGTGTGCAGCACGTTAAACGTACTGATCTTACCCTCAGGGGAAAGGGTTAGGCTAGAGGCACACTGTGAGCTTCACAGTACACGGCGATCCACTTCAAATCACAGGTTCAATCTCTGAGGGAGAGTAACCAGAAAGGGACTTTGCAGGGATAAATTCAGTGTTTATAGAGCAAATAGTGTCTCACAGCTGCAAATGGCTGGCCCAGTGAGTCGTGGGAGCTGAGAGGCAGGGTGTGTTTCAAGGAGGAAGCGAGATGAGCATTGCGGGATGCTGGTGAAGTGTGACCAGGAAGTCAGTGATGTGGAAGTCACTGTGATGTTGTGGGGTGGCGGAAACGGCTCACAGAGACAAACTAATGGCAGAGGGAGAAGCTATCCAATGGGAAAAGATCACAACTAAATATCTGAGCCTAAGAAGAGCCAGTGTTGGGGTGGAGAGCTGGCTCAGTGGTTCAGAGCACTGACTGTGCTTGCAGAAGACCTGGGTTTGATTCCCAGCACCCACATGGTGCCTCACAACCATGACTCCCACTATGTGTAAACAGTAATTTGAGGGGGGTCCAGGGAGGAGAATGATATGTCCAAAATGCTCCAGGAGGCCAGAGATGGTGGGAAGCCGGAGCATAGATGAGGGAGGGTGGATCAAAGGAAGGGCCGTTTGATGGAGTGTCTCCATAAGCATTTCTTGGGGCCCTTGGTTTAGTCTTTGGGTGGCTATCCTCAGGGATACTCAGGTCTGCAGTAGTCACTGTGATTCCAAACAGTGGCTTGCTCGGTCAGGCGGTTTCCTGGGCCAGTCTGCACAGCTAACTGTGTTTGTGATCCCTGTCCTCTTCCGGGCACCTCAACCGAAGACAGCTTCAGCTCTTCATCCTCTGTAGCTAGAGTTTTCCTGCCTGGCCCACAGTCAGGACAAATCTCTGTCACCCACCAGTCCCATAGCCGCTCAGACCCAACCAAGTAAACACAGAGACTTATATTGGTTACAAACTGTATGGCCGTGGCAGGCTTCTTGCTAACTGTTCTTACAGCTTAAATTAATCCATTTCCATTAATCTATACCTTGCCACGAGGCTCGTGGCTTACCGGCATCTTCACATGCTGCTTGTTATGGCGGTGGCTGGCAGTCTCTCCCTCCGCCTTCCTGTTCTCTCAATTCTTCTCCCTGTTAGTCCCGCCTATACCTCCTGCCTGGCCACTGGCCAATCAGTGTTTTATTTATTGACCAATCAGAGCAATTTGACATACAGACCATCCCACAGCAGTCCTCTTAGATTTATTTATGTATTTTATGTGTATAAGCATTTTTCTCACCTGTATGTCTGTGTATCGTGTGTGTGCCTGGGGTCCAGGGAGGTCAGAAGAGGGCATCAGGTGCCCTGGAACTGGAGTTATGAATGGTTGTGAGCCACCACGGGGGTGCTAGGAATCAAACGCAGGTCCTCTGCAAGAGCAGCAAGTGCTCCTAACTGCTGAGCCCTCTCTCCAGGCCAGCATGGGCTCTTCTTAGACTCAGATATTGAGCCCTGCATTGAAATGCTAAGTTTCCATATTTCTGGGGAACTTTTGGCCTGAATTCAAGTAGTGGGAGCATCGCTTCAACTGCTCCACGGCGGATTTCTCTTCATTTGGAAATGTTACACCTCTGTGGGGACTTTAGTGTCTCTGAACCACTTCTTTTCTTGTTTGAGACATGGTCTCTCTCGACATAGCCCTGACTGTCCTAGAACTCACTGTGTAGACCAGGCTGGCCTGGAACTCACAGAGATCTGCCTGCCTCTGCCTCCTCCTCTGAGTGCTGGGATTAAAGACGTGCGCCACCATGCTTGGCCCGGCTTCTTTTCTTTGTGTTCTAAAGAACAAAATTAAACAACAACAACGAAACCCTTCTGTTTCATTCATTCATTCATTCATTCATTCATTCATTCATTCATTCATTCGAGTCAGCGTCTCACTGTGTAACCGAGATGAAAGGTCCTCCCTAAGGAAGCCCTTGTGTGGCAGCTCTCTGTTTACTAGTCCTTGAATCGGTATTTGCTAAATGATGTGCCCTGTGCATGCAGCCGTGCAGTGTCCGCGGGCACGGCTCTAAGCAGGGAACCAGCCTGCTGTCCGCTGTGTTTACACAGTAAGTGCCGTGATATGTCTGGGCTATGCATTTCAAAGGGTTATGGCTGTGCTGACTCGGTCTCTGACGAGTTTGCATCTAGTCTTATCGGGGTCTGATCAGTTTGCAGTTAGCCTTCCGACTTCTGTCTTGTCTTCCTCCGAAAAGTGTTCTCTTAAATAGAAGGGGGGTGGACCCCAAGGTGTCCTCGTTTTCAGTGCTAATCTGCCTCATAAAACTCCAAACGTAATAGGAGTTTTTATCTTGAGCCTAGGACAGGCGCCCCTCCGCTGAGGGTGGAGGGTGGCCCCGCATGGCTCAGCCACATCTGTGCTTCACCCCACCCCCCCTCTGGTGCGCTGCAGAAGCCACAGCGTCACCCCCACCAGGAGCGGGGCCAGGGCTTCCCCAGTCACACAGCACTACCTCTAGCTTAGTTCATTCAACCCAAAAGTTATTTTCTCAGGAAGATTTATGATGAGGGTGAAGCCAGTGACTCCTGTCTTCACAGTGCGCTATGAAGAAATGGCCCTGGTGTGGACACAGGAGATGCCGCCTTTACCTTAGAGTGCCCGGCACTGTGGCTGTTTATAGCTTTATTTGATATCAATGAGTGCCTTGGTTTTATTTCATTTTATTTATTTTTTTTATCACTCCACCCGATACACCCTCTCGTGTAAGTTGCTGGGGTCATGTGTGCCCATGCATTTCAGGGTGTTGTGTGTGTGTTTGTTATTGTTGTTTTTGTTGCTGTTATTTTTTAGGTTAGTGTACAAAGTCCCGAGCTCCTCCATCCCGGCGTCTGTCCGTGTCTGTCATTATGCTTCACTCTCTTTGTCCTCTTCCGCTGCCTGCCATCCTCGGGTTCCTCTTAGCACTCTGCTCTTGCCAGCCTGTCTCTTCTCTAAATGTAATAAGAATTTGTTTGTATTTTAGGGAGGGTAAATTAGCAGGGGGGGTACTAATTTTTTTTTTTTTTTGCCTCGTCCTACAAATCATTTTTATCATTTCACTTTACGTCTCATTGAAAGCAGCAAACCAAATCCCAACCAAATATCCACCAGCAATGGCAAGTCCGGCACTGTGAATGGAGCTGTGGGGACCACGTTCCAGCCCCAGAACACCCTCTCAGGGCGAGCCTGTGAGAGCTGCTATGGTGAGTTTGCTCAGAGGCTGTGCCTGCTTCAGTGTGGGGAGCCGTCCTCCACTGGGGGTGGGGGTGGGGGGGGGGCTGGCCAGAAGCTTCTAGAAAGCATGTCACTGCTGCACAGAGGCAGGCGGTGTCTCCTCAGAGTGTCCCTCCCGGTCTCCCGCTGGGAGCAAAGGGGCATTCATTCGCTGAGTCCTCTTGCACCACGCAGGTGAGGTGGGTGTGCATTTGCTCTGGCTTCCTCTGCGGGCTCGGTGTTTGCTGGCAGGTGTTTTCTTCTTAGCCGTGGGCAGTTATATTAGTTTAGCCCAAACCATGGTACTGTGATACATACCAAATCCCCTTTGGGAGTTCCTCAGTGTCCTCTGGCAAATTAAATGTGCTTGATACTTCCTTAGGAGAGGCAGGTGTGTGCCAAGCCAATGCTACAGCCCTCAGGCTCCCAGGGACCAGTTGGGGAAATGCCATGCTGTGATATTTGCTTTTGGCCTCAGGCCTTGCTCTAGTTATCTCTGCTTGCAGGGTTATTGTGTGTGCCCTGGTGTTATAGGGGTCAGTGATGTGATCTGATGGTAGTTGACACCGTATATGTTTACTTAAAATCTCAACCAACAATAGCTCTCCTCTCTGTTACGCAGCTTTGGTTGGGTTTTTGAGGCAGGGTCTCCTTATGAAGCCAAGGCTGGCCTCTAACTCTCCATCCTCCTGCCTCAGCCTCCTGAGAGTTTGGATCACAGGCATGTACCACCATAGCACAGTGATGTTTCTTCTGTGTGTGCATGTCACTATGTGAGGGTGTGCAGGTGGATGTGGAGGCTAGGGGACAACCTGGGGTGTCCTTATTTGTATTTGAACAAATTTAACTTGGAGGGCTAGAGAGATGGCTCAGTGGTTAAGAGCACACGCTGGTCTTGTGGAGGACCTGAGTTTGGTTCCCAGCACCCACATCAGATGGCTCACAACTGCCTATAACTTTAGCCCCAGGGGATCCAACACCTTTGGCCACCAAGGACACTTGCACTCATATGCACATACATGTAATTAAAATGTTTTAATAAAATCTGTCTTAAAAGTCAACTTTGTTTGTTTTAAGTAGATGAGGAAAAGGGGTAGACTTCTCTTTGAAAGGACTCTTCCAAGAGTGGTATATGATGGCTGGGCAGTGGAGGCCCACGCTTTTAATCCCAGCACTTGGGAGACAGAGGCAGGCGGATCTCTGTGAGTTCGAGGCCATCCTGGTCTACAGAGTGTATTCTAGGTCAGCCAGGACTGTTACACAGAGAAACCCTGTCTCGAAAAACCAAAAGAAAAAAAAAAAGAGTGGCACATGATGAATGTGTGAATTATTCTGAATTCTATAAAGGCAATAAAATGTAAGAGTCGCTCTTTTGGGGTGGGTGGACGTAGGGATCAGACCAAGGGCTCTTGCGTGCCCAGCCCGCGTTCTGCCACCCATCCATCCCCAGCTCTGACTGTCCCTTTGCATGCCGGTTTGTGAGGTATTCCTTAATGGACGCCCTCCTGGGCTAGCTGATTGCTCTGCTCGGATGGTGACGACGTACAGGGGAAGCTTGTCCACAGAGCTAGGGTAATGCTCGGCCTGCGTTTTTAACTACTCCACCATGCTGCCCCCTCCTGTCTCTGGCTCTACCTTGGGAAGCTTTTGGAGGGACAGGGTTAAGCTGCAGAACCTGACACAGGCCGTGTGTCCAGTCAAGCAGTCAGTCAGCTGGAGACAGGCCTTACTAAACTTGACGCCATGTCAGCTGCACGTGCTCACCTGATAGGGATTTCTAGTCTTCGGGCCATTCTGTATTTAAAATAGGGAGAAATTCTAAAGTAAGGTTTTTGTTTCCTGAGTAAGGGAACAACAGGCGGATTTCTGGTTTTATTTGACTCCTGACTTACCAGTGATTTCCCCTTGAGTACCTTATTAATCCTTGCAAGAGCTTCTGAACCATCCGGTTCGGGGGGGGGGGGGGGTTGTTTTGTTTGTTTGTTTGTTTGTTTGTTTTGTTTGTTTGTTTTCCCCCCGAGACAGGGCTTCTCTGTGTAATTTTGGTGCCTGTCCTGGATTTTGCTCTGTAGACCAGGCTGGCCTCGAACTCACAGAGATCCACCTGGCTCTGCCTCCCGAGTGCTGGGATTAAAGGCATGCGCCACTACCGCCCGGCCCGGTTCAGGTTTTAAACAGTGCGGAGGAGCTTAACAATAACATCCTTCGGAAGACTTATTTCTAGACATGAACATAATGAAATCACTTTTAATTAACAAAACAAGATCTCAGCAGCCTAAGGCATAAATCAAGATGTGTCATCTAATAGCTTCTCTTAATACACGTGACAAACACTGACATGTGGCAGAAACAAACGGCTCAGTGTGTTCCGAGTGCTGAAGAATGCCCATGTGCACTGTGTATGCTTCCACGCTTGGCCTCCAGCCTTGGGAAAGAAGAAGACACTGTGTGTAAACTAGCTGTGGCTTCGGGGTGTCTCGGAGGCTTGAGCACCTTGAGAGCACGGAGCTCATAGCATCCCTTTCCCCTCCCTGTCTCTAGCTATACAGTCTCACCAGTGGTATTCCTGGGGCCCACCTAACATGCAGTGTAGACTGTGTGCGACCTGTTGGCTGTATTGGAAAAAGTATGGCGGTCTGAAAATGCCCACCCAGTCAGAAGAACAGAAGTCTCCCAGCCCTACTGCAGAGGTACGTGAGCGCAGTCTTTGCAGGGGGCGGGGAGGAAAGCGCCATGTTTTCCTGTTCCTGGCTTCTTCCTTGGAAACAGGGATGCCGTGCAGTTTACAAATGAACAAAGCTGAGTTTTAGAGCTAAACCCAGCACTGCATACTCAGGGTGGGTGTGAACGTGGGTGCGGAGACAAGGTGGATTTTTTTCAGGTATTCAAAATATTGGTCTTCTGAGATTATTCAAGCAAAAGAATAATGTGTGTGGGAGGCGCTTGCCTCAGCAGAGCGCTTACAAATAGTCTTGGTTTTGAAAACAATTTGTAACCTTTAGATGCTGTCGAAAACATCTTATTACATAAAATAACAAACGGGAATTAAACGTTCTCTTTCCTCGGATGTCGTGGAGGACAAGAAGGGCTCTTGGGTGGATACTAAGTGAAAGATGACCTTAGTAATCCTTATAGATTGAGGATGTCAAGCACCAGTGTCTACCAAAGGGAGACTAGTTAGTCTCTGTCGAGCTGACACCAGCTCCGGACTCCTCAAATAACCCACAGCCCCACCCTGTCAGCTTCTTAATGACGGTGCATGCGAGCTGCCACGCCGTACTCCCGCATTCCTAGCAAACGTGCACGTGCTTTTCCTTCGAGGGGCAGGTTCCCGAGTTACAGTGCTTCCGAGGAGGTTGAACACGGTGGAATCATAGCAAACGGCCGTGTGCTCGGGCGAGTTCTCCTCTGTAAATCCCGTTGTTTTCCGCACTTGCAGGACCCACGCGTGAGAAGCCACCTGTCCCGGCAGGCCATGCAAGGCATGCCGGTCCGGAACACCGGGAGCCCCAAGTCTGCGGTGAAGACCCGCCAAGCTTTCTTCCTCCATACTACATATTTCACAAAAATTGCTCGTCAGGTCTGCAAAAACACCCTGCGGCTGCGGCAGGCAGCGAGACGGCCGTTTGTTGCTATTAATTATGCTGCCATTAGGGCAGAATGTAAGACGCTTTTCAATTCTTAACCTTACACGTTTCCGCTCCTCTCACCATGCTCTCTTTCCCTCGCGCTCTTTCCGTTTGTTCGTTTGCAATAAACATAAGTTCTTGTGTACAGCCTTTGTTTTTTTTTTTTTGTTTTTGTTTTTGTTTTTTAAACATTGTTCTTGTCTGCTGCCATTTATATCATCCCACCCTGAAAGACAACGCTGAAATCCCTGTGAATTTTCAGAGTAGAACTAATCAGGAGGTGGGAGCGGGAGGGACCTTAACCGAAGCACTTTTGCCTCTGTGGGGTAGTGTAAACCCAAAGGTCGGTCTTAGGATAAAACTCCCTAAGGAGACAGCGAGATCCTGTCTTAAGGATTCATGAGGTTTGAGTAAAATTTACTAATTTAGACTAGTCAGTATGTCTTGGCAAGCCTCTTACCTTCCCAGGAACCTTTTACAGTCATCATACAGACGAGAGAAAAGAACGCTTCATAACCAACCCCGTGTTTGTTAGACAGCGTAATAAATGTTAAGTAAATCTCAGAATGGTCTTTAAGAAAACTTCCTGAACGTACACATTTGGAAGAGTCAGCTTTCATTGTGGTTGAGCATCTCTTCGTCCACTTTGGTCTCCATTTCATAGTCATCCATCATCTCGCAGCATCTCTGACTCAGGCTCTTGTTTCCAACACGTTTCAGTCTTGCTTATGTTTCTGTTGCTGTTGTTAGAACAAAGGTTATCTCCCTGACCTGGGATCTCTTCTCTTATTGCCACATATCTGAAAACGTACACATGATGTGTGTTAGCTGTGGAGTCATACTTGGCTGGTAGAGCCATGCAATGTCTCCCTAAAGGATTTAAAAAAAATGGCTGTTGGCTTCACAGGTAGGAAAATCTTAAAGCTATTCAGGTGCTTTTTCTATGAAATAAAAAATTGGTTATGAAACAGGGTGTGTTGGCACTTGTGTGCCTGTAACCCCGGGCAAGTAGGGGCGGGAGTATCAGTAGTTCAAAGTCATCCTCGGCAACATAGGGAATTCAAGACCAGCCTAAGTGACATGAGACCTTGTCTCAAAAAACCAAAAGCATAAAGGCATATTATTACGAGATGTCCACTTTGATTTGAAGAGGATGCCCATAAAAGGAATGACTGGAAAATAACTTCTTATTTCCAAAGATAATTTTCAACAGAAAGTTGAAAGATTTTTAAGCTTAAAGGTAAAAAGCCCATAAGAAGAGTGAGCACTCAGTCTCCCACGTGGAGGGAATCCGTGGTGTTATGTCCTGTATGTTTGAAAATTTAGGCTTGCCTTTGGTTCTGTCCTGACATTTATGAGTTCAGAGAATTGGTTTTTTCTCTCATTTTAAGGGACTGGAAATTAAATATATCCACCCAAACTGTTTAGCTGATTTTAAGCACATCTTATTTCTATATAATTTCTTGAAGGGGGTAATTTAAACGCGTGAGACAGGAAATGAACGGAATTTGCTCCTCATAGTTGGCCGGGGTCCAGTGTCATCTTCATTTCTGATGAATGGAGGAGAAGCCGCCAGTGATAACTGGCCGCAGTGAGGCCGCTTCTGCCTTTGGCTCGTGGTTGATTCTCAGTGTGTTTGCACATCAGCTTTGCTCCGATCATTCTTGAATGAACTGTGTTTTTGTGTCAGTCCATTCTAATCTCCTGTCCATTGAAGGTCTATGCTCCTAAAAATAGATTTAAAGTGTCTATATTCTGCTTGTTCAAGTACATGGAAAATAATAATGAAAGAACAGTCGTTTGCTGTGATGAAATTCCAAACAAACAAACAAAAAAGAACTTTATTATTTTCTTCTATTTTGTGTTTATCTTTATCAAAGTACACAGAGAATCACACTTTTAAAACAGTTTTACCTTACGACTTGAAATTTCAGTGTTGCTCACCATGTACTTCCTGAATGCTTTTCCTAGCATCTAATTGATTTTTATGTCACCTCTTCATGGCTATCTGTACTCTGTTATAACCTCTTCAGTAGGTGTTTTTATCTCAACTCTGTAGTGTGATGAACTGTGAGTAACCCTGATCCATTGGAAATGAATAGCCGTGTGTGTGTGTGTGTGTGTGTGTGTGTGTGTGTGTGTGTGTGTGGTGTCTGTATTGTGTGGGCATGTGTGTGGTATGTATGTGTATCTGTATTGTATGGGCATGTGTGTGTCTCTGTGAGTGTGTATGTGTATATGTGTGTGTGTGTGTGTGAGTGTGTCTGTATGTGTAAATGTGTGTGTATGTGTGTTTATGTGTGTGTGCATGTGCATGTGTTTTCCCCATAAGTTTTCCTTGGTTTCTCCAAGGCAGTGTTCTAAAGCACAAGGGTCACTGATACAGTCCTGATGTACTTTCAGATAGGATGGAAGCTTGTAATTCTAAAGGTACTGAAGAATAGAGCTGCGATGAATACATGTGGAATAACCAATAGTGTTGAAAAGGAAAGCAGCTCCCTCTGCACAGCACCGTAGCCCATGTTGCCGGGGCTTCAGGGCATTAGGATGCAGAAGAGGGAAGCTGCTGAGCTTGCAGGGCCTGGGTAGCAGGGTCCATCACCTAAGAGCCTGTCTCAGTAGGTAATCCCTATTTTAAGCGGGCATTTTTGATTGGGTAAGGGAATACTCATCAGCCTTTTCTTTTCATCAAGGAACATGCACCAAGGTTTGCAATATTGTAAATGGGATTTTGCAAGAAGTAATAGTCGCTGTGGGAGGGTTAAGTGGGAGGCAGGGGAAAATGGGGTGAGACTTATTCCATTGTTCATCTATTATGGAATGTATTTCCTATTAAATAAATAAACCTCCCAGCAGGTGTCTGTGATCTCAGAACTCAGGAGGCAGAGGCAGGAGGATTGCTACTCCTTTGAGGCCAGCCTGGGCTACATAGTGACCCTATCTCAAAACAAAAACACAAGTATATAGAATACATATGCACATACCAAAACTATTTTAAAACCTGAGACAGGAGTATCGACACTTGACATTCAGAATCCTCACACTGAAGCTAACTTAAGGGTCATCAGCAGCATTTCAGAGACATGGCTGCACTCTAGAAGAGCACGTCCTGGTCACTTGCCTGTCACCTTGTTAGCTTGCAGAGATGAGTAAGTTCTGAGTTCTTACACCGGCTGCAATTCCATCATGAAGTTACTTTGTGTCTCTTGAAGAGGTTTTTTTTTCTGTTTGAAGATGTGAATTCAACTTTGAAAGCATCTAAGACCCCATTTCTTTTTCTTTTTCTTTTTTCATTTTTGGTTTTTCGAGACAGGGTTTCTCAGTGTTGTTTTGGTGCCTGTCCTGGATCTCGCTCTGTAGACCAGACTGGCCTCGAACTCACAGAGATCTGCCTGGCTCTGCCTCCCGAATGCTGGGATCACAGGCATGCGCCAACGCTGCCTGGCTCAGACCCCATTTCTTGAGATATTTGTCACATGGGGAGGGTTTTTTGGAGTTTTTGTTTGTTTGTTTGTTTTACAGTTAGCAATTGCTCAAACTTTCCTGAATTTCCAAGCTCCAAAGCAGCAGGAGAGAACTATCTAGGCCTGATCCTCTTCCAATTTTTGGTAGTGTTTGCCTTTAATCGGAATTTGTTCTTGAATGGTTACTTAAATTTTAAACTTACTTATGTGTATGAGTGTTTGGCCTGTGTGCATGTATGTGTACCACATGTATGTCTGACACATGGAAGTCAAAAGAAGGGGTCAGATCCCCAGGACCTAGAGGTACAGAAGGTTTTGAGCAACAGTGTGGGTTCTGGAAACCAAACCTAGGTCCTCTGCAAGAGTAACAAGTGCTTGTAACTGCTATGCTGTCTCTCTGGCCCTTAAAATGTTTTTCTTTGTGAGCGATGCATTGGTTCCAAATCACATAACCTTTTTCCTTCTTGATGTGTTCTTCAGATGTAACCACTGTCACATTGCATTTTGATTTTTAATATCCGTTACCCAGTTGTCTTCTGAAAACCCAGTTTATATTCTCAACGACTGTCTTGAGTGAATGAATGCCCAGCTCTCAAGAACTTTGGCAGAGAGGTTACCCAGCTTTGACCCCCTCAGCCAGGCGGTACATGAGGCAGGCAGAGCTACTAGCTTCCATTTTGCATTGCTGGTGACTTAGAAAATCACTGCAAGGATTTGAAGGCAGTGTGTATTTCCTGTCAACTGTTTTTGCCCTTTCGTTCTCTATTAGCCGTCTTCCTGGTGCGTGGAAACTTTGGTCTTAGCGAGGTCACTTCGAGATCTGTGATGCACATACTCCCCCCTCCCATTTTGTCTTTGACTTTGTCTGTGTTGTATTTTCCAAACGTCATTATTTTGTGTGCGTGACATAGTCTCGATGTGGACCAGGCCGGCCTCGAACTCACAAAGATCTACTTGCTTCTGCCTCAAAAGGGCTGGTATTAAAGTGCCACCGCACCCAGCTAAATGTTTCAGTCAAAACCTGTTTTATAGAACCTGAGTCCTGTGTTTAAGCAAATTCTGTGGATGGTTTTATTGGACAGAGATCTTGAAAGCCCACATCATACATATGTATATTATTAATTTTGCTCTGTGTGTGTGTGGTTATTCATGTAGAGAGTGAGGTGCAGGCACACACAGAACATATCTGTGGAGGTCATAGGACAGTCTTCAGCTGTCAGCCCTTGCCTATCTCATTTGAGACAGCGTTTCATAAACCAGGCTGACCTTGGAGCGCCCGGAGATTCCCCTGCCTTTATCTCCCATCTCCCCCTCGGGGCACGCTTGGATTACAGAATCGAAATTTCAGGGTATCATACTTGGGGCTCAAGCACTCTTACCCACTGAACCATCTTCCCAGCCCTTGTTTATGCGTTTTAGTTAATCCATTTTGCAGCTTTTCTTTTTCTATTATTATTATTATTATTATTTTGGTTTTTCAAGACAGGGTTTCTCTGTGTTGTTTTGGTACCTGTCCTGGATCTTGCTCTGTAGACCAGGCTGGCCTCGAACTCACAGAGATCCACCTGGCTCTGCCTCCCGAGTGCTGGGATTAAAGGCGTGCGCTGCCGCCGCCTGGCTGCAGCTTTTCTATTTTATAATCTCCCTCCACCCCCAGTATTTCCAAAACATTAGAGAAAGGGTCAAAAACTGTCATGAAAGTATTGATAATTTTATATGTTTACCTCAAAGGAATATAGGTTCTGCTGTAGGAATCTAAAGAAATGAGCTTGGGGCCCAGTCAGGGACCGAGTGAGATTCTGCCACCGTCTCTGGGCAGTTTTGATTCCCTCTGGCTCCTATGGGCAGCCCTCAGCTGCTTCTTTTCTCCACACACTTGTTATGCCCCCTCTCTGTTGAACTAGAGATGGCGAGTCATTTTGGGGATCAAGGATAGACAAGGGGGCACAAAACTTGGTGTAGCCTGGCCTGTAGACCAGGATTACAGCAATGTGGATCAGATAATCCGGTTTGTGAACATTCCTGTGTTTCTCCTACTGAATGGCTGCTTTTTTTCTCATATTAGAGCAAAGCTAGGTCTACCTTAGCACTTCTTATCCTAATTTTTTTTTTTTGTAATTGACTGATAACTCTCAACACCAACTCATTTTTTAAAAATAGACTTATTTGTGAAATATGGGTCCTGCTAGAGGGCTTTGATCTCCAGAGGGGACTTGTACACTTTCCCTGGGAATACCACATAATTGGTGCTACCAGTGTAAGAAACTAGAGGCAGTTTGCTGTAGTTCAAAGTGAACCCAGTTGGTACGGTGCCGGCGACCATATTTGATGCCTTTGCTGCTTCTTGTCAGAGTGATGGTAATGTCCCGGTGTTTGTCAGTTGTAGCCACGTTGACAGTTTTCCTGGTGTTCTTGCAGACTGAAGGGCAAAGTTTATCTTGTCACTAGGACAATGAAGAATGCCTTTGTGCAAAATGCTGAGGAGTTTACCAAGATGATTCACTCAAGCTCCTTGAATTAACGAAGAAGAAAACAAAAAAAAATGAAAACATTTCCTCTCGTCTCTTTTCCAAACATGACTAGTATTTGAGGCACAGTAGTCCTCTGAAGAAGGAACTTTGGTGTTCATGCTCAGTGGTTTGACCCGTGGTGCAGGATCCGTGCAGGGTTTGGACCATTTCTGATCTTTATTTAGATTGTGTTTCTTAATATGCTTGTTAAAAATGTGCTTAATTCTGCCTTTATCGTCATTATGATTCAGTAACAGGTGAAAAACTTCACAACTTAGCAACTCTTCCAAAGGTGGTCACCTGAGTGAAGGGGAGAAATGGGACCATTTATAGTTGGCAATTGGTTGCATAATAGGTAAACAGTGCTTGGGGAGCTGGCTCAGATTCCTGGTGTTTCCAAGCTACCTGCAGCATGTGCTTTCCCTATTTTAATGTCTTTTTTTTTTTTTAATGCTATTTCCACCATCTGTTTAATAGTTTTTTAAAAAAAAACAAAACACATTTCCTTGATGAAAAAGGACTCGTGCTCATGACAAAGTCAATTTTTAAGTTATTTGAGGTTCCAAATTGAAGAGCTGTGTGTTTTGATGCGACATGCACAGAAGACCTATGGACGGCAAAGTCACCTTCCGTGTGCGCACGCGCCTAAGAGTAGTCTCAGCTCGCAAAAGGAAACAATCCCAGTAGGATCAGAAATCCCGGAGGACGTGTTTGTCCCACATCTGGAGACGGGGCAAAGCATACACAAGCCACTGATGTGCTTGGCTGATTTTTAAAAGTTCCCGTCCACGTTTTCTTTTGTCCCTTCAAGCCGTGTTGTCCTCAGCTCTTCGCTGTGGTAGGGTTACGCTGACCCTTTCCTAATGGCCGCTCCTTTCAAGTATGGTGTTCGTGTTGTATGCTTTACTTCCTCTTCTGAAATATCTCAGGATAGGATGGGAGGGGATGGACGCTTAGTGGCCAGTGTCTGCCCTCAGTGTGACTGACGGATGCTCATAGGGACCTTTAAGACCTCAGCCCAAGGAACAGGATAGTGATAGAACCAAATGACTTTACCAGGCTGCCATCTAATGGAATTGCATTTTGTCAAGATAGGTCAGGGCTTCCCAGAGGGGCCCACGCCAGCTAAGCCGAGGGTGGCTGACCGTGTTGCATCACTACTGTTGTTTGTTGTTGTTTTTCCCAAGCCAGATCTCACATTAGGACTGGCCCCCACCCTGAGTGTACTGTGAGTCTTTTCCTATCGTAATGTAGAAATGTCACAACTAAAAGAAAGCCTGTTTCCGTCACTTTTCAGGTGAGCACACGTGGGGTGTGTGTGTGTGTGTGTGTGACCTGCACCCACACGGCTTTCATGTGAGCGCTGGCCTGAGTCTCTCATTCAGTGTAGGGATCCGAAACTCAAAACAGTTTCCTCCAACCCAGAGGAAGGAGTGGGAACATGTGGGCGGTCTGCATCCCCCCCCCCCCCCCCCCCCCCCGCACCTGCACCTTTTATTTCTGTGGTGTGTGGTAAAGGAAGAAGAAGTCACCTCACTTCTTGTCCCGTGTTTCTCTCTCTCTCCTCAGATGCAGACAGACACGCCGAACTTTCTGGAAGCCCACTGAAAAGCAAAAGCACTAGGAAACCTTTGTCATGTATCATTGGGTATTTAGGTGGGTATCTCCTGACACGGGAAGACCTCAGGGGACACCTTTTATATGGTGTAGACATCTCGTCGCTCCGGGTGCATACCTGTCTGCATTCAAGGCCTTCAGATGGGTGAAACTGGACACCTTTATATGTAGAGTTTTATTTTGGACTAGAAATTTTTATTATCAATGAATAGAGTTAAGTATATATGTCTACTTCTTCTGAAAGTTTGTTGAATTAAAATTTGTATTAACTGTTATAGAGACGGTCTAAGAGAAAAAAAAAAAAAGATGAGTCACCTATGGTGGTTTCTGCCTGTGATCGGAGCACTTGCAGGGCTGGGGCAGGAGGATTGCTCTAAGCTCAAGAGCAGCTTGGGCACCTAGCATGACCCTGTCTGCAAACAAGAACAAAAAAAAGCAAACTAAGAAAGAAGGGAGGGGGCATTTTTAAATTTATTCAATAATGCAGGATGGATATCCTAAACATTTTAATTTTTATTTAGATCCTTATACTATCTCTAATTTACCTTTCCCTTTAAATAGAGGATTGTTGAAAAAACCGAACTAAATTGATTTTTCTGCTTACATTAAGAAAAAAAATCAATTAGTCATAGTGACTCATGCCTGTAATCTCAGCACGAGGCAGAGACTGGAAGACCCATGAGCTCAGGGCCACCTGGGCTACCTAGCAAGACCCTGTCTCAAGAACCCAAAGCAGCCAGGAGTGGTGGCATATGCCTGTATCTTAACATTCTGGAAGTAGAGGCAAGAGGATCAGGAATTCCAGGTCCCCCTTGGCTACATAGTGAGTTCAGGGCCCATTTGGGCTGCACTAGATCCTGCCCCAAACAAAATAAAACCCAAAAGCCAACTTCCCCCTTCAAAACCAAAAGACAAACAAACAGAAAACCATGGTAACAAAAGAACCCCCTGAAGGTGAAGTGTAGATCAGTGGTAGAACACATGCCTAGAGTGCACGATGTCCTGGGTTTGCGTCCCGGCGCCTCAGGTACATGCATGTTACAGTTTTGATGCACTGGCTGGGTTGAAAGGAAGCATTTCTATTGTTTTCTAATATCGATCATGCCATGTGACTCAGAAATCTCCAGAGATTATGGTTCCATTTACATTCTGAAATTTGTAACTAAGAATAGTGTTGAGAATTACTAAGCAATAACATTTTCCCAAAGTTTTAAGATAAACGGAGTAGAAAATAATGAGTTCCCTTCCTGAGGTAAGGAGAGCACATGTTTGGGGATTCCAGTATTTCTTTTTCATTTTCTCAATAAAGGGGAACTACTCTGAGTTGCATTGAACCTTCTTTTGCTGTCAGGAAGACTTATGTGTTTGAAGTCTTCAGACTTTAGCATCTAATCTTCAGAAAATCAAAGGGTAGCCTCGAACTTGATATGCCATCGGACTGAGAAGCCCAGGGCTCCGTCTTTGATGTTACTCTGCTACCTGAGTTCTTGTTTTAGATCTCAGAGGCTAAAGAGCTGGAAGTCTTAGTCTACATAGTGAGTGCCAAGCCAGCCTGGCCTGCAAAATAAAATAAAACAACCATGGAGTACATGTCTAGTCCCAGCACTTGGGAGGATCGGGAGTTCAAGGTCAGCCTCGGTTCCATGAGATCCTGTCTCCAAAAAAGTTAAAGAAGAAAAGCAAGACTTGTTTTCATATCCTCCCACGCATCACGTGGTTATTGGCATGTCCTGGGTAATGAGAATATCTTGAAGGCTGCTGTTGTACTCTCTTCCAGGACCAACGCCTGGAAGCCCCTTCCCACCCGGCAAAGAGTTTAGCATTGCTGAGTAGACCCCCTTCTGTGCTTTGTCCTGTGGGCAAACTTACCCTGTCCCCACCAGATAAGTCCCCACTTTTTTCTCCTCACAGCTGAGCCTTGCCCCATCTCGGTGTGTGCCGGACTCCAGTAGAATATGATCTGGAGGACACCACGTACATAAGACCTTGCTTTCAAGACTTTGAGTCAAGTGGGGGAAATCACACAGTAAAAGCAATCAAACAAAGCATCAGATGTGATAAATGACAGGTTCTAATGTGCACTGGGCACTTGGAGGGAGGACTTGTGTGTGTGTGTGTGTGTGTGTGTGTGTGTGTGTGTGTGTGTGTGTGTGGTGAGGGAGTCCGGGAATTGAGCCCAGACCTCATGCATGACAGGCAATGCTGTACCACCGCCCTGGGAGTGCTGATCTCAATAGAGTGCCAGGTCGGCCGCCTTGGCGACAGTGGTAGTTTATCTTAGCCTTGACAGTTTTGTAGGTTTTGAATGGATGAAAAAAAAATAGAAACAAAATTCTCACACCTCACAAGGTTTAAAGAACTAGAGAGACGGAGGCTTCCTTGCATCCATGGTTAAGGAAAGTCATTGTCTGCCTTAGGGTAAAGTAAGGCTGGTGAACCATCCGTACATACCATGTTGGAAGACAGCCTTAGTTTTAGATGGTACTGCCAAGCCATACCTAAATTTTAATGATCATAAGGTTTTGATCAGACCAAGTCATATAGTTGTTCTAACAGTCTGAGTGGCTTTTCCTAAATTCCCACAAATCTGCCTGTTTTGGCCCTCATGTTGGACAGGCGAGAAGACGGGCTGGTTTGAGCGTAGTTGATGAACTAGGGGACAGCTCTGAGGATCGGCAAATGGGTGAGGCTCTGGAGCAAAGGTATTCATACTAAGAATAGCCGGAGGTCTTCAAATCCACTTCCTGTGATGTTGCAGTTTCTGCATGTCTCTGTAAAGAACTAGTGGTACTGGGTTATGTGGCTTGCAGTAAAGACCCCTAACCACACACCATGCGCACAGACACTTTGCCTTGGGCAAAGTGTGCCATCTCCGTTTTGACTATGGTGTTTGTTTGACCTTCCGTTTCAAATTTCATCCGTTATGGAAATATTCTGGCCTAAGAGTATTCGATGCTGGTCCCAGACCTGCTGGCTTACAGCCGGAGGAGGAATTTGATTTTTCAGAGTGCTCACACACCAGATGTGCTGCCGCTTGCTCCCGGTGGACGGAGCGCAGAGACGGGGCTTCCTGAGGCTGCCCCTGCAGATGATCGTTAGATTTCTAACGTGCTGAAGAACCAAGTACTTTATCCCCTTAGCAAATCACGTGGTTGCAAGTGACCTTCTGAAGTGGCTTGGCTCGGAGCTCCAGCCAGCCGGGGAGGAGCCAGTTTCCTTGATAAGCAGAGCCATGGTAACAACACTTGAAGCTACCTCATTATGCAGGTGCGTGGCTGGCTCACAAGGAACCGACTCTCAGCTCATTAAGAAAGAAGATGTGTGCCTATTAGCTGGTGTTAGAGTCCACACAGATTTCCAATACCATGTTCTGAGCCGATAAACCTTTTTTTCTCCCATCAGAGATCCATCCTGCCAAGAAACCTAATGTAATTCGATCTCCGCCGAGCCTGCAAACTCCAACTACCAAGAGGATGCTCACCACTCCGAATCACACATCCTTGAGCATTCTGGGGAAAAGAAACTACAGTCACCACAATGGCCTGGATGGTAAGTAAACCTGGGGATCTTGCTGTGACCGGCCAGGACCACTCTGTCCTTGCCTGCTTGTGGGTGTCCTCAGCTAATGTGGTGGCTTGTGCCTGTAACCCCAGCACTCCAGAAGTGGAGGCAGGAGGACCATGTGCTAAAGGCAAGTTCTGCTTACCAAATGAGTTTGAGGCTAGCCTGGGCTACATGAGCTCCTGTTCCCTGCCCCCTGGGGGTGGAAAATCGATTCCACACCATGACTGGTGTGAATGTGTGAGCTGGTGAGGGGAAAGGCTGCCGTGGGCCAGTGAGACGTGGCTGGGCGTGACCTCCACTTCCCTGGGAGATGCCTTTTGCACACATCTGTCAGGAGCACGGTTTGGAGGCGAGTCTGTATTTAGCTGTTGCTTCTGCTGAGGAATCTTCTTGCTGCTCTGCAGGCTCACTGCTCAATTAAGTTTCCTGGCCCAGGAAGGATTATTTTGCCATGTGTCCAGCCTCAGCACGCTCCCGGGCTCCTTCAGTATTCTGTGATCGTGTTGGATTTGGCATCTGTCCCCGAGTTCCCTCACCTTATCAATTTTTTTAATTGCCCAAGAGTGCTACAAATCATGAAAGGAATTGCCTGGATGATATCCTAAATACAGAAATAATTTGTTTGAAATGGAAAACCTGAGAAATATCGCCTCCTATCCAAAGCACTTCTCTTAGGCTCGGCCATATAATGATCTTCAGGTGGAATTGAGTTATCTCACCATTTGGACCCTAAACAGCACGGTAATAAATCACCCCAGCGGTATATATTGTTCGCCTCAGTCGTCCTGGAGTTTGAAGCTGTCATTATTGTTTAAGTGCTGGCATTTATTTATGAGTAAATCTCTCTCCAGGCTTTCCATGCCTTATGGACTCCACATTCTTCAGTGACGGTAAATTACTTGTAACAAGGCCCTAGAGCAAGGATACAGAATAGGCCTTCTAATAATAATTTCCCATGGCTGACTCTCCTTTACTGTGACGTCCGATGGCCATAATCATGCCGCACTGAGTAGAATACTGAAGATGAGGAGTTCAGTTTGCGTTTGTAAGGTATTAGGGTGTTATAAACATGGCTCTCGAGAGTTTGGCCACGTAGCAGGTTTACACATGTGCTGTCACAGCAGTGAGAACATTGGCTCCTTGTCCCCACGTGCCTGATGAGAAAACCAAGGAAAGAGTATGGCAAAATGTAGAAACTGCATTTCATTCCAGCTCTTTCTTGCCCATAGCTGAGGGACTTTGGGTTCAGGCTTAAATAGATTATTGACTCTTTCTTTTGCATCTAATCATACCCTTTGCTTTTGGCGGGTATACAGTCCTGCTGCAGAAACATAAAGTGGGTTGTGGTTTCTCCTCTTCCTCCTCCTATTTGAGATGGGCGGGGCTCAGACTAATTACGTAGTTGAAGACAAACTAACTTCTGCTCCTCTGCCTCTTCCTCCCAAGCTGGGGTTACAGGTGTGTGCCATAATGCCCATTTTATGTGGGGGGATCGAACCCAGGGCTCCATATCTGCTAATTATATGTATTAGTTACCTTCCACGCTGCTATAACAGAAAGACCCAACAAGAAGCAACTTAAGGGACTGGTGAGATGGCTCAGTTAGAACAGTGCCCACCACACAAGTGTGAGACCCTGAGCTATCCCAGCACCCCCTAGAAGCCAGGCATTGTGTCTTGTGTCTGTAGCTCTAGTACAGGGTGCTGAGCGGGTGGGTGGCTGTGTAGACAGGTGGATCCCTAAGGCTCAGTGACCAGTCAGTTTAGCTTAATCAGTGAACTTTATGTTCAGTGAGAGACCCTGCCTCAAAATAAAACAAGGCGGAGAGCAATAGGGAAGACTTCCACACACGTCTGCACACACGTGCACTTACCCACATGAACATATGCACCTCCCACACCCACCCACACATGTGCACTTACCCACATGAATATATGCACCTCCCACACCCACCCACACATGTGCACATACCCACATGAACATATGCACCTCCCACACCCACCCACACATGTGCACATACCCACATGAACATATGCCCCTACCACACCCACCCGCGAAGAAGGAACTTAAGGAAGGGAGGCCGTGTTTTGGTTCACAGCTCCAGGGGATGCAGTCTATCATGATAAGGAAGGCATGGTGGCGGGAGTGGGCGGCCACTGGTCACATTGCGTCAGCAGTCAGGAAACAGTGAACAGAAAACGGGGCCAGGTGTAAAACCTCAAGGCCCACCCACCCCCGCTGACCTACTTCCTCCACCTGCTAGAGCTTCCACAGCCTCCCCAGTAGGGCCACTGTGTGGGAACCGAGTGTTCCCGTGACCTTGGGGACATTTCCCATTCAGATCCCAGCAGCAGGCAAGCACTCCATCCAGGCTGCATCCCCAGCCCTTCACCTGTCTTTACAGTAGCTGACGTCAGGAAGAACCACTTTAGGAAATCTTCCTTCACTCCTCCCTGTGGCCATTCTGGAGCCAAGTCCAGCCCTGTCCTGCAGCTTGGTTGTCATGGGTCACCATCTAGAACGGGTTGCCCCATCTCTCTCTGGATGAGTGCTGTCGCAAGGCCCCTGCCTCTGCACTCTAAAGGGGGCCCATGGGCACAGCACACGATAAGTTCCTGTGCTATACCGATGGGGCCAGCAGCTTGCTGGGAGAGACACCTGCCTCCATTCTCCAGAGACGCTCAGTTATCGAAACTTCCCCGGTCTGCTGTCTGTCACAGCTTGGAAAGGAAGCTGGTGAGAGCATGCCTTCCAGTGTGCGAACTTAACCTCTATCTCCTCATTCAGTTAACGCAACCAGAAGATCTTGGGGGCGGGGATGGCCAGGGATCTTGTTTTGTACACCATTGTAGCTATGTGCCCAGCCCAGTCCTGGGCACTTTGGTGTGCAATATAAATCACACAAAGGAAAGTGTTAAGGAAAATGGACCTAGGGGAGAGGATTGTAATTTCCCAAATTACCAGCTGTGACTACATGGATGGACTCCAAGTCAGGTACAGCGGCTTTCATGAGTTCTAGTAACTGCTACAGCAAGCAGAGTGTGTGGTGGGGTGGTAGCACACCCAGAACCCTAGCACTCAGGAGGAAGAAGTGGGAAGAGTCTTACGTTTTAGACCTGCCGGGATTACATAGCCAGACTCTATCTTATAGCAGAAGGGGCTGGAGAGGCGGCTCAGTGGCTAGCGCACACTCTTCTTGCCGAAGACCCAGTGCCCATGCCAGGCGGCTCACACTAGCCCCTGACTCCAGCTTCCTCTTCTGCTTTCCACCGTCACTGCAGCCGTGTGCACATGGCCCCTCACACACATAATTAAAAATAAAATTAAAAATGCTTTTTTTATATTTTTGGTTGTGAGCCCAACCTTTCTTTAATGGCTGAGCCATCTCTCCAGCCCTTAAAATGTTTGGGTTTTTTTAAGAAGTATGAGTACTATTTAGAAATACCGAAACTCTATAAGCTATTTTAACAGACAATTTAATATAAGAAGTCAAGAGAACAGCAGTTGGCAGGCAGAACAGATCAACTGACGTGGTGGGATACAGGAAACAGGTGTGTACATTCTTGAGAGGGCACAAGAAAGTGGAATTATCCCACTTTAGAAGCTTAAGATGAGCCGGGCGGTGGTGGCGCACGCCTTTAATCCCAGCACTCGGGAGGCAGAGCCAGGCGGATCTCTGTGAGTTCGAGGCCAGCCTGGGCTACCAAGTGAGTCCCAGGAAAGGCGCAAAGCTACACAGAGAAACCCTGTCTCGAAAAACCAAAAAAAAAAAAAAAAAAAAAAAAAAGAAGTTTAAGATGATGCAGGTTGGTGGTGGCCCACCCCTTTAATCCCAGCACTCCAGAGGCAGAGGCAGGCAGATCTCTCTGAGTTCAAGGCCAGCCTGGTCTACAGAGCGAGATCCAGGACAGCCAGGGCTACACAGAGAAACCCTGTCTTAAAAAGGAGGAGGAAGAGGAGGAAGAAGCAGCAGCAGCTCCAGAGGCCCCAGCAGCCGTGCTTGGGGAGCATGCAGGAACCTCCGTGGGGTGGCCTCTCTCAGGTGGTGTGATGGGTCTGGAACTGCTCCTAAAGCTGCCTGGGTGTGGCTGCTTTGAACAGGAAGGAGCCTCGTGGCTCTCTAGCACCCCCTTCTGGGAGAAGAGGGAGCTGGTTGGAAAAGAAATTTCTTTTAGAAACCTGGTCTGGAGTGTCAGGAAGCCGTGAGATGGTAGAGAGTGGAGCCGAGAGGCCAGACTGTTACAGACACAAATTCCCAGTGGGCCCTTCCCTCGGAACAACGGCCCTGTTTCTTCTCTCCCGATACGGGTCCCGACTAACCCAGTGCTGGAAAGTGTGTGGTCACTGTAGCGCGTTTTCATGGCGTAGTTAGTACTGCTAGTTACCAGAGTAGTTCCAGACTCATGGGAAAGCTTTGCCCTGTGTGATACAATAATGAAATCAATTAGCACAGCGACTTAATTACCATAGCCGACAGATGAGCACACTGCAGAGGGTGTTGATAGATGGAATTAATTTGTCTGGAAACAACCTGCTTCTACTGAACGTTTCCACCACCCAGCTTCCCGTCTCCTCTCTCACTCCTCTCCCATCCTTGCCTTTCGGGTTTTGTTTTTTTTTTTTTTTGCTTTTCTGTTAGGCAGGAAAAAGTTGTTTAGCTTACAATTCCATGGGGTTCAGAGTCCAAGTCCCTCGGTTCTGTATTTCCAGACTTGTGGTGAAGCCAGAACATCCTGGCAGCGAAAGATGGCAGCGCTGGTCACCTCAGTGGCAGACAGCAAGCAAGGGTGCATTTCCAGTTCCTCATGCTGGGAACTCTCCATATTTGCAGAAAGAAAGCATTTTTTTTTCCGGGCTTTTTTAAAAATGATTTTTCTTTCTCTTGAGACAAGATTGCACATATCCCAGGCTTCCTTCAAACCCCAGGTGTAGCAAAGGATCACCTGGAACGTGTGGTCATCCTGCCTCTACCTCCTGAGTGCAGA